TCTGGCAAGGGGGGGAGATAGGTTTAATTTTCACTTTGTATTTCCAGTCGGCTCTTTTTTCAATAATTATTTTGAATTTTTTGTCTATTTAGTATTTCCTCTGATAAGATAGGGATAACGTTAGCACGAATTTCATAAAATGTTAATCCATCTGTAAGTTTGATTAAACGATACAAAGAGCATTAAATCCCTATGAGATTTTTTTTTAAAATTGAAGCCTTAAGCAAAAAAATGCAGTAAATATGTTAGGGGACTACTTCAGACTTTCTTCAAGAAGGTGGACAGTTTGAACATAAATTTAATTTTCAAATGTTTATTTTTTATTATGTTCATTTTTGTACCAAAGAAACTTTCTTGTTTGAAAATTTTACTGACTAATTTTTTGAACATTTTGTAGTTGAAAAATCGAAATTTTAGCAATAAAAAGTTAATTTTATATATGGGAATACTGACCTTCGATAAATTAAGCACACATGTTTACAGCTCATTAGTAAGGGGTAACTTTTCTGTTAGCGCCAAATCTGTCAGAATTTTGTAGTAACAAAAAAATGGTAATTAAACTTTAGACAAGAACTTTGTAAACTCGTAAAACTTTATCCTCGAACAGATTCTGTATTCCATTTACTTAAGTATACAATAAAAAAATTTAATCTCAGTGATTTTTAAAGAAAGGTGACCTATCTCGAATACAATCGAGAATCAGACGTTGGCCAGTAGGGACTTTTTAGTCTAATTTATCGTGTAGGATAAAGTGCTGAAGTATTGACGTCTGTTCACGGTCCACCCTGTATATACTGAAATGTAAATTTGTAATAATTTATGTGTAATTGTGTAGGTGTTAAACTATAATATTTACATAAAGATATGTTAAATAATTAAAAAGTCTAATGTCAAATTAAAATTATTTGGAAATCGTGAAATGCGGTCTGATGTGACGTAGGCTTCAGAAAAACATTTTCTTTATCGTGCCAACGTTTCGATCTTTATTGAGATCATCTTCAGGGCTCAAAGTGTTTATTTTCTGCGTAATTGTGCCATTCTTGCGTGGGCACTCTCAACACGACACGCAAGAATGGCACAATTACGCAGAAAACAAACACTGAGCCCTGAAGATGATCTCAGTAAAGATCGAAACGACGTTAGCACGACAAAGAAAATGTTTTTCTGAAACCTACATCACATCAGACCGCATCTCACGATTTCCAAATAATCATAGACTAACGGTCACTAATCACCACATACGCCAAATTAAAAGTTAAAAAAGTTTCTTGAAAGTGGCACAGGATTGCTGAAATGTCCAAAAGTCGTAATTTTTATATCAAAACAACACCTTCAAAGTAAAATTATAAAAATAAAATTTTTCATCTATAAAGTGAACAAGAAGGATAACAGTGTTTTTTTTATACAACAAAATGGTACTAAATCTTTTTTTCACCTCGCGTTTTTTGGTAGACAAAATTTGGCTCTCCAGATGAGAGCCTGGCGAACTTGTATTATGGAACTTCTGGGACTCTATTATCATAATTTTTAATTAGCCATTTCACTCGTGGTGAATGTACACATATTACGGCCTAACTAAGTTTGGCGGGTCTCGAGTGGATATTCCGAACACCCGCCATAATTCACACTAATAAATACCTTCACACTGACTAGAAACGTGCATAATATTTGGGAGTCTTATGGTCTTACGCCAGTGTCTCGCTCATATCGCTCCTAAGTATACTCGATTATTTTTCTAATTACTCAAAAATGAATGGATATTGCCAATTTGTAGTAGTTACATTCTCTAGCATTTTTATTATGAATCGCACTAAAATTTATTAGGAATTGTTATGTTTTCACTGAAGGAAGGGAAAGGGGGGAAAATAACAAAACAAAAGGTTTTAATTCCATAATTTTGTTTATTGGACACAATATTTTTTTAAACAATTAATACCGTGTTGAGGAAAAGACCAAACAATAAATTATCGTTAAACAATTTTCAATAGGTTTTACTATTTTGTCGGATTTTCCTGAAGAAAATTAAGAACTGATCGGTATAAACGCGAGCTGTTTTGAAAATTGAATTGAGCAAGCAATTTTTCGTTTTTATTTTCATCCACGCAATCATAATTTATAAATTGATTTATAATTTATATGTTATGTTTGGTTTAATAAGCCGAAGGTCGTGGGTTTGAGTCGTGTCACAATTTTTCATTAATATAATTTATAAAATTCGTATAGATTTTTATCTCAGGTTTAAATTAAACACGGTCCACCTCAGGACCAGTCATGTTGTTTTAAATTAAATTTCTTTATTACCGTCACGGCAGGAGTGGAAAGTGCATGGCGTTAATTAATGCATCAAACTTATGAGGGTCCATTCGATTAGTTCGCCAAAGCCACATGCGGGCCATCCAATTCCCCATGATATTAAAATTAATTACTTAACTTTTTCATCAACAAAATGAAAGAAATATACAGGGTATCCTTTTTATACGGCCCGGCTTATTACTCTTGAATCAATCGTTATCGAAAAAGCAAAAAATAACTTTTAAGAGAGTTTTAAATTTTTACCGCTTTTAAGAGAATCAGACTTAAGACAATAGATACTTTTTAGTCCAATTTGACTTGTAGGATAACTTCTTGAAGTTTTGACGTCCGTTCACGGTATGTATACAGGGTGTTACAGAGTAAAACGCCAATAGTGGATTCACTAAATAAAACGTAGTTCAACGCCATCAGAACTAGGTTTCTATTTTGACTCTTTCCTGAGATAACACTTTTGTGGTTTTAATCTAAAATAATTATTTTAGAATGTATCAAATTTGTATTACCATCTAATAAGTATTTTAATTAAAAATGTAACAAGTACGATGTTTTTGTGTTGCTCTTTCGGTTCGTTATCACGTTTTTCAACCTTGCAAAAGATATTTCAATAAGAAACGTAGTAAAAAAAGGTAAAAGTGAGAATTTCCTTGGAATACTTATAAAATAAGGCAACTTTGGTGAAATCACCGAAAATATTGATGGAAAAGTCATTGCAGGAGCCACACTTGCGCATTTCAAAAAAAAAATATTATTTTGTTATTTTTTTGGCGGCTGCTGTATGTTCGAAAGCGCGAATTTTTCAACGGAAATGTTGTTATCTTGTGGAAAATTTAATGAAGCATGGGAAATAAATGTCAGATTTGGATTTTAATCGTTAAAGGAGAAATTACGATTTTGTGAACAAAATTTTTATTTTAGACTAAAATAAGAAAAAATGTTAATATCTCAGGAAAGAGTCAAGATAGAACCTCGTTCTGGTGACTCTGAATTACATTTTATTGAGTGGATCCACCATGGCAGTATTGACATTTAATTGTGTAACACCCTGTATAATACAAATTTTGTTAAATTGATGGAGTCATTGAAGTGCCGTGTTTTTTGTAAATCACTACTGCGTGTTCTTCTCCAGTTTAAATAATTGAATCGTATTTTCAAAGTTTCAGTAACTTCGAACGTTCTCGAACGGAGACATGGTTTCACGCAAGCGATTCGATAAAACTCAAATACTTTAAAAAGTAGTCTAAAACCACAAATAATCCGTACATTTTGTATGATTCATTTTTCAAAAGGACGCTCTCAAAATTGGTGGATAAAACGTGGATTATTTATTCGGTTTTATGGCCGCCAAGATTTTATTCAATATTGTCAATATTGTGTACATGGAAATAAAACACCCACCCCTTGTTTAATTGTAATGTATTTTGTTCATCTATTTATTGTCTTCCTCATTGTTTTATTATTTTTCGACCAAGAAGGTATAATCTACTGTCGTAATAACGAGGAATAAAATTGACGATATGTCTGTCATAACTGCGGCCCAAATTGACAATTTTCCTTCCATTACAGAGGGGTGCCTTTATTTCCGGAAAGCTTTGATATTTTTTATTAGTCGAGCTGTTTCATATCGATTGATGGCTTAACGAAGTCAAGAAGAAAACAGTGATGTATATATGTCTGGAATTAAGCAATTATCAATAATTATGGATGGAATGGTTGGTAATTACCTTAAAACAAAATTAGTAATAATCTCCGATTAGTTGTTTTGAAAGATCAGAAGTATGTCAATCAGGAGGTTTAACGATATCGACAACACAGTTCTTTATTTGCGATCACGTCTTTCACGTGTGGTTCCATTCGGAATGAGGGCAACAATAAAACGGTCCTAACAATAATATTCGACGGCTTGCTACTTCTTGTGCAACGGCCCTTTTAGCACATCCTTTCTATATCAATAAAATTGATGTCAGCAATGACTCTAAAGTTAGGCCAATAATTTAAATTGTGATGCTACGAGGTATAGAGCACAAAACAACTTTAATGGATGCACACCATACGACAGACTAAGAATGGGCAACCCAACGGCTGTTACACCTGCCCAGAGTTCATAGAAATTTCTGCTCAATGACTTATCTACTACCAAAGGTCTATAATGAAAAATCTGCGATATACACAATTTAGATCTTTTTTGCATCCTCTTATAATATGTTTAAACATCAAATATACATTTAAAGATATGTATTTGTTAAATTTAAGAGCTATTGTAAGCATGTACCGGTTTGGAAGGTTGTACTTCAATAATAATAATAATTGAAGATGAGAAACTTACTGAATTCATCTGACATACCAAAAAGGCAAAGATGCAAAATGATCGGAAACAACCAAACTTATAATTTAATCGTGTGATTTTTTTGTTGTTTTCGAAAGTAGTGAAAGAATTCTCTTTGATACAAAAACCTTCAAGAGTGTTTTATGGATAAGGTGTAATTCTGGTGATAAAAGCGGTCAAGGTCCGACCGGACAATGACCATCTTATAGTCAACGGCGTTTTCATTCTTCTACCTAAAAGACGTCTCTTTTTGACCTTAACAATCGTTTTGTACACTGATAACCGAGGAGCTTTTGTTGTCAGAGCAGACTTACAAAAAAAATGTTTATCTTGAAGAAATTCATTTTCAAATTGTTTGTTTCAGCTGTTGAAATCCGGAGCTCACACTCTGCCACCGATGAGCTTGATCTGCGGAGGACTTCTACGCACCCTCGTTACATTAAAGTGAGTATCATATTTTCAGATTGTTTTCTTGTTTTTTAAGATATTGGTTGTTTAAAGCTGTCTAGATTTTTCATTATAGAACGTTTTATAAGCATTTTCATTTTTTCGTTTCGGATAATCCACCGGCTTTGTTGTTCAGTGTTATTTCAACATGGGTTAGATGCCTTTGGCTCCGTTATTGATGGGGAGTATTTTACAAGTGGGCCTACGTGACATCTCTAGGGCAATCTAACAATTCAGTTGAGCACGCATCGCGTCTCAAAAGGGGGACGAGATATATATTTATTCCGGCTTGTTCCTACTCGAGAAAATCCCAGTTCTTGTCTCATAGAATAGTATGTGGTAAAATGAGGAACATATTGACTGGTATGTCGATTGAAACATAACAGCTTTTTCGGATTAAATCTTTACTCAATTTGTAAAAATTGAAAAGAAGAACGATAAGTTTACACATATTATTATCAAAGTTATTAATAGTAAATTTTTTTCATGTCGTCTGCGGAGTGATGAACTTGCAGTTTGATTCTTTCCAATCATTTTGTTCTATTGGATAAAATTTTCTCCATTCTTTCTCGCATATATACCATCATGTACTAATGAGCATACTTATACAATACATACTTATACCTTTCTACTCGAATTTTCAGGGAATCGGCTACCCAGCCGAACGAAAAACAGGCCGAGGAGAAAATGGAAGTCGACGAATCATCGAGTTCCGAAGACGAAACATCGTCTCCACGATCTTCCAAAGGGTCCAGAGCTCCTCGTAGGAACGTCCGCAAACCGGAAGAGACGGTAGACTTGAACGCCCTTTTCCCCGAAGCCTCCTTCGACTTTGACAACATCGAAGAAACGGATCAATACATCATTGACGAAGGCGGACATTCCAATGCCTAGTTGGCAATTCTGTTAATATACTGTACTGTAAATAGTGTATATATTAAATTTCACAATTTAATAAAAAGTGAAAGAAAAGAAAAAAAGAAAGTAATGCATTCTGTGATAAGATCCTAGGAAGGTAAAATTTACGCGAATTTTATGATAATAATAATAATTATTGAATACTTTTTGTTGAAAACTAAACTAATTCCTAAAATAGAAATATACGAAAAGCATTATATATTCCAAATTTGTATAATGTACCAATACCTTTATTTATATTCCGTTAAAGAAGATAATAAGAAACCTTACTATGTACTTAAGAAATCATGTTTAGACGCCAAAACAACATTGTTATTATTAACAATATCTTTATGTAAAGTATTGGTTGAAATAAAAAAGCCAGTGCCACGAGCGGGATTCGAACCCACGCCCTTCGTCTAAATACGCCGCTGCTCTACCACTTGAGCGATCGTGACTTCGATCCACTCGGACACCGACTTCACAACTCAACCCCACCTTTTTGAATTTTTCCTCTTTTTTGCCTTTTTTTAAATGTGTAATCTATTTGATTCTCGGCGACAAATGAAATGGCCACGGAGAGCTTTTGTACTTCATTTTACTTATTTATTAAATCCATTAGATTTCGTGGTGCGATTGACCAAAATGGCAAAAAGGAGGGACAATTCGAAAAGTGGGTTGAGATGGGAAGTTGGTGTCTGAGTGGATCGAAGTCACGATAGCTCAAGTGGTAGAGCAGCGGCGTATCTAGCTGAAGATTGTGGGTTCGAATCCTGCTCATGCCATTGACTTTTTTATCTCAACTAAAAACCTTGCATAAAGATTAATTAATTGAAAGAAGTATTTGGTCAATCCGACCATTAAATCTAATGGATTATGTTATTATGTTTTCACTGCAGACCAATTAAAAAGCAGCAGCAGCTTCGTTTAAGATAATTGAGATCCGCCATTCCTCGCTATTTTCTCAGGCTTGTTGCGTTTTTTCAACATTCACAGGTGGGTTTATTTAATTTTTAATATATTCCATTTTATTTTTTCATCGTTAAAGGTGAAACTAGTAAGTATGTAGGTTGTTATCCCTCGATTTAAGTGGAGCAGTTTTTGTGCTGTGCTTTAAGTCAAGTTTTTGTACGGCATGGGGTGATTTTAAGCTTGTCTCTATTTTTCATTGTTCGTGGTGGTTTGGTGAGAGATGAGTTGGTTAGTTTGATTTTTCTATATCAATAAATAACTATTTGTTTTTTCTGTCTTACATTTTCCTTCTTATTTATATAATGCGGATTTCGACTATAGAAGGAAGTAATAACAGAAGTACCGATTAGGTGAAAAATAGTACCCAAGGAAGGATTTTACTGTCACTTCTACTGTTGTTAATAGTAGATGATCAAATAACAGAGCCTAACAGCTTAGGATAACTCAGATGACCTGGTAACAACCATAAAGGTAAATTGAAGAAAGATGGTGTGAAAAAATAGTTTAAATATCACTCCGAACAAAACCTCTGTCAGACCCTTCATTCAATTTTCTCCAGCGAGACTACCTAGGTATAGCCCTTGACCAAGTGGAAAAAAATTGGCAACACACTACATCCGGCCAAGGCACATCTAAACATTAGTCAGAGGTTATATAGCAAAAACTGGAGAATAAACCCCAGGATGACAATGACATTGGTTATGCACTACAACGGCCACATGCTTAAACTCTAAATTTTACTTTTCTGGACTTGTATGTCTTAACATAACAGGTCAAAAACTTATCACACAACAGTGACGGAAACCATAGTCGATCGAGTGTGCAGAGACAACTGATATACAAACAAATAAAACCAGACGTAGCAAGAAGCCATCACGAAATTCTCAAACATGGAACAGGGCAGAACAAGGGTTTCAATAACCCTTGAACAGGCCCACAATTTTCTAAGCTCAGGTCCCTGTAACCCAACTGAGTGTAGAGTTGGTATGAAAGAAAGATAAGGGTTCACAGATTTACATACTTTCGGACAGTCAGGCCCCAGTAGTTATAAATGCCCTAAATACGACTGTTTCAGAAGACAACAAGGTTATCTTAAAGAATGTTTGGAGCTATTGAGGTACAGAAGGAAATGAAAAAGCTGACCAACTAGCCAAAGAATGGGCAACCATCTCACGCATGGAACTGGAACCACACTGGGCACACCGGAAAACTTACTTAACTTGGAGCTGGAAAAATTGGACCAAAGCCCCAGGTATGAGGCAACCTTAGAGATTTGTAAATCTCTCAAAAAGCAAGGTGAAGGGTTTTCTTATAAAGAAGATGGGCAAACAAAAGATAATGGCATACCGATTCTGTCAAGAGAAACCAGAGACATCGGCACATATTCTAAGGAAATATAGGAATGATGCACCGAGGAATGTGCTTAGTTATGCAAGAAAATACGCACTTTCCATGCTTTGGTTATAAATTGTGGCCGTTGGAGTAACACAATAGTTATTCCTTACTTGACCCCCTCCACAAAAATAAACTAAAAATAATAAATACAAAAATAAATAAATAATAATACTTAAAAGTCCTCTCCAAAGATATGAAAATATACTTGGGTTCGATTTAGAGACATCATTGATGACGACAGGTCGTATAGAGTTTAAAGATCTAGTTAAAAAAACTTATCAACCTTAGAGAAATGTGACTAGACTATTACGTTCGGCTGGTGTTGACTACCAAAATAAATTTCTGAATTTGGTGAATGTAAAGGTCTTCTTTCCTTTATATTAAACCCTTGATTACAATTTAAGAAATAAGTCATACATGACATTATTTAAATGAATCCAATTTTCCAGGAATCTAATTACTTTGTCATATTTCGACACATAACCACAAGTAATAGTAGATAGAAACTTATTATATAGAAAAGTATTAGTACTGACTGACACAAGTGTCGATACTTTTTGCCTATTCAATTGTTGTTATTTACTGCATTTTTTGCATAAGTTTTTATAGAATTGTTAATTTGAACGTCTGTTTATGCACGTGAATTCGGTGCTTTATGTGTTTTAGATGTTCCATATTGTTTAAGTGTCTTATTTTGTAGCCGTTGTTTATTATTGTTTGTAGTTCGTGCTTATTATTCTCATTTGCTAGTTGTATTACCTTATTCAGTTCATGTATTTGAATGCCATTTTGTGTCTGTGGGTGGTTTGAGTCAGTTCATGATGGCTGTTGTTTTCTGTGCATACCATATTCTAATTCGTTGTTTGGCTCGAGAAAAATAGCTGTGTTAGTTATTGGTGTTTGTTCATTTTTCAGTTCTGTTTCGTGTATATATGTGGAGCAGATTGCATGATGTTTGTGTCAAGTTTTGGAATAGTGAAGTACTATGTGGGTCTGCAATGAATGATATTTTTATATAGAGTCTAGGTCTATTGTCTTGGTTGTCATCATGTCTGTGAATATGTGCTATGCCATGTTTGCCATTAAATATGTGGGGAAGAATTTTTGTCTTGGAAGTTACGTAAAAATACTTCCGCGTTTGTGATGGTTGATGTATTCCCATTACTAGCCAGTACTTTGGAGTGTATATTTGCCTTTTGAAATTAAAACAGTTTTGCTCTTATGGGTATTATTTTTGAAAGTCGTCAAAAAAATATCGCAGTAAAAAAACCCGCGATAAAATAAAAAATAGCGATAAAAATCCCTGTTTTGTTGCGCACATGACAAAGTGGTTTTGGATGACGGAACGGAAAACCGATGGAACTGCTTTGATTAGAATCCATCAACCTTTCCACTCTCCGGACTGCCTCTCAAACTCCGGATTACTGAATTATCTAAACCCGGTTAATTACACTCGACCCCTTTAAGCTGGATGGATCATCGAAGGCACAACGTTAACTCGCTCAATTTTGCGCATACGCACGTTACAGAATCGAAATTCTGCATGCTTTGTAAGTTTCTTACGAGCTAAAGACAGAAGATTTTAAATACTAAATGTGCTCTAAAACAATGTAGTTAGTATAGACTTGAATATTTTTTTCAATGTCTCACTGGCACTCTCAACACGACACACAAGTATTACACATCTACACAGAAAACACACACTTTGAGTGAGTGCAAATACTTTGATTGAATCTAAAATTTCTAGCATTGTATAAATTCATTTTTTATCACATCCTACATATATTTGTAACAATGTTTATAAATCCCAGGCCCTGAAGATGATCTCGATAAAGATCGAAACGTTGGCACGATAAAGAAAATGTTTTTCTACAACCTACGTCACACCAGACCGCATCTCAAGATCTCCAAATAATCATTAATTGACGGTCACTAAATACCACACATGTAATAAAAATTAATGAATATAATAAGAAGTATGTTTGCTAAGCAAGTTTATAAAAATACTGAACTAGTACATAAAATTTCAGTACAATTCATTATTCAGTGTTAATTTCGTTTGGAAAATGTGAAAAATTCTTAAATCATCGATTCCCCATTTGAAATGAGTCGTTCTGTGCACCCTTGGGTCTGGTATTTCGATGTTAACGGCACAAAAGGCTCTGAATAATCTAATTAACACTCGGCCCGTAAGTGCTGGCCACTCTAATTGAGCTTTCCGCAGCTTGCAATATTACCGGCGCTAAGCAGTTTACGTGAGCTGTAATTCAATTATGAACATAGATTCACGTTGTGATTTTCAAATGCATGTAACATAACGTTAATTAATTGTTGCCTCTGTGACAGATAAAAGTCGGAGGACAGTTGAAAAATTCCATCCACTTGAGGGCCCTCTTTGTTGAGGAGGAAAACGGGGCTGAAAACGCGAACTTTTCCCTTGAAACTTTTCTTTTTTTCCTCTTTTATCTTTACGCTGTCGAAACCGCTGAGAGATTCCAACAAATTAAACGCGTTACTACCATTCTTTTAGTTTTATCTCCTGGTCATCATTCACAGAAGATTTGTTCCTCTCGAAAAGTGTGGAAACAATGATAACCTTAGACTGAAGTGTTTCTACTGTAGAAAAGTAAGATAAAATATTAAAACTTGTAAGATAAATTAGATTTATATTTAAACGCCTTTTTAATAAATTAAGAAAAATAAATTTACCCTTCGTATGTAATTTTTAAATTGGCAATAAAATACTTAGCTAATTCTCTGGCACTATTACATGGATTTTGATTATTAAAAATTTCTCGAAAGAGGTGGTATTCTGAAGGGGTAAGGCCAGGGATGTAGATTGAGAAAGAAGGACAATTGCATCTAATGATGTCTATTTATTACACATTTAGAAAATTTAAAAATGGACGTTTATATTGTCATTTCTTTTTAACTTAATTACTCGGAAGAGTAGTAGTTCGAGGGAGAAAGGATAGGGGTCAGACTATAATTGTAGTGGTATCGGCAGGGGCTCTATTACATTTATGATATGGTTAAGAGTTTTTCCTGTTGGAAAGAAGCTCATGCTGTTGTAATATAAGGTAAATATCTTTTTAATTTTAGTAATTTTTTTGCTTATATTTCTATTAAGTGGCGTTAGTCTCATGGGGAAGTCTGTATTACAATTATGATGTGGGTATGAGTTTTTAAAGTTGAAAACGAAATCATTTAAAATTTAGAAATTTTAAAAAGGATTTTTTAATTTGTTTACTTTAATTTCTAGGAAGAGATGGTAGTCCGAAGGGGCAAGGTCAGGATTATAAGGTAAGAGCGCTGGAAGCTCTATTACATAGATGTTGTGCTTAGAGGGTGAAATGAAACTAATGCTCATTTAGAAAATTTAAAAAAAGATGTGTTTTACTGTTTCATATGCTTTTTTTAAGTTCTTGGAAAAGGTGGTATTCTGAAGGAGCGAGGTCAGGTGTCTAAGGCTGGTGTGGTAGTAACTTGATGTAATAAACGATCATAGTTAAAAAATTATGATTATATAATTTAAATAAAAGGTATTTTTTGTTTCTCTCATTTTATTATGTTTTATATGAATGATTATAACGCTTAAAATTTTAAGCTGCGTGTATTCATAATTTCAATTTTTATTTTCTGTTAGATCAAATTTTATTTCATTTGGTACCTATTTATATTTGGTACATTTTGTACTTTTTGTAAACAATAATATCTAAATATTCTAACAAATTATAATAAATATCTCATAGATTTGGCTTAAAAACTTAACATGAGCACTACAATTAACAATTTGATAACTTTTTTTTGTACCTGACTTAAATTAAAACTATGACATAAAAACTGCTTTTATTTTACAACAATATGACGATGATTAATTGCTTTATAGTTTTGGTGTAATTGAGAAGTCGTAATTACGTGCGTAAGACGATCGCTTTTTTTAAATCGGGAGATTTAGAAAATGACTGAATGTTCTGTCTTATACAATTATGACAGTATAAAAAGTTCCTAAAGCACATTAATTGTGTTTTATGTGTAGGTGGATTTTACTTGTTTCTACTTTACCGGGTTGCCTATGTTAGAGGATAATTATCAATTGAGAGGAGAGGAGGTCGCCCCCTTTTCTACAATATACTGTCCTGCCATCTGTTAGGTTTTTGCTGTAGCATTTATTTTGACAATAACATTGGCATAATTTTCTATTTACACTTAATATATATTTTCAGGTTTAACAAGAAAGAACTACTAAAAACGAACAAACTAACAAAAATTTCTATAAGGAAAAGGGGCAAACAATTGTTAAAAAGTCTTGAAAAAAATTATCCAAAGAGGCACTTTTCTGAAGAGTTTGCCAAAAGTTGAGTGTGTTAATGAGCTTTTAATTGACCTGCCATTCCCTTAACGCGTTTTATCAACTGCTCGAATAGTGAATTTGCTTAATTACTTTCCAAAAGATAGAGTCGATAACCGAAAGGGCAAAGGAGAAAGTTCTTCCACTTTGTAGGTTCTTTCAAGAAGTTTCACTTTTTGTAATTATTATTAATTACTGAAGTTTATGCTTAACCCTTCATGTGATTTGTAAACAATTCAATACAAAAAAGTTAAGTTCAATGATTAAGATTATTTGAATATAAAGAAAGACAAAATTTAACTGGAACTTGTAAACAAAAAAGGTTTGAGAACGTTAAATTTATGCAAAGAAAGAAAAAAAAGTGTAACGCACGCACGTAAACTTTTAATGTATCTAAAAGAACTCACTTTTATTACATCTACGGTAAAAGTATAAAAGGCATTTGTATTCATACGATGAGCTGTCCCAACTTGTGTTCAGCATACCTCAAAGCCCAATTTGAAAACAGTCACACCTTTTATTATTGGGATGGCTCGGCTGACTGGTTAAATGTTCCTTATATTATTGTATGTCGTTTATAGTTATTTCTTTGACATGATATTCCAATTTATACGCGGTCAATATAATTAAAACAATTTAAAACAACTTTCCGTGAAAACAGCCAGTGCATTTGTCTATAATTTTTTTAACATGTTGTAAATCAGTAATTTCTTTTTCATTTATATTGATTGTACTCTCTGTGATATTTATGTTTGTAAAGTTAATTTGTTCGGTCTCATGCTCATTTATTTTACCTTTACTATCTGGGGTCTATCTGTCAATCCGTCAATATTTTACAATTTAGTTATCGATTCTTTAATACTATTTTCCACTGTGTCATGTGCGAATATTGCTATAGTTGCATAATCCGTTTGGTGACAGATTAAAAATCAGATACAGGATTGGTCCAAGGATGCTTCCCTGGGAAACACTACCCTTCGTTTCTAAAAGTTTGGAGTATTCCTTCTATTACTTCAGTCGTTGAAAGGTAGTAAGAGAGAAGTTATGAGTACTGATTGAGAGAATTTTTTTTTATAGTTTAAGCTTAACAAAACACAACTTGATGAAGGTACTGCACCTGTTCTGTCCACATGACCTAATCTCTAGCCTTTTTTAAAATAAAATTAAATATGAACGATTTAAAAAAACAAAAACATGTTCATGCTTCATTTTTGAATAAACCAGTTAATATAAACTTTGTGCCTGACATAAATTTATTTGGATTATTAAACTTAAATTGCGATATTGTTGTGTGTGTAGTAAAGGCAGATAAAATAATGACAGCTGATGCTGCTTTTTGGTCGGTAAGTGTAAACCTTTTTCGTTTAAGAGTTCCTCAAAAGAAATGCTAGTCTGAAGGAGCAAGGTCAGGTGTGTAAGAGTGATTTAGTAGTAGTTTGATATATCTCTGGTATAATGAGAGTGTGTTGATCTATGGACGATAACAAGCGAAATAGACGGCCCCAGAAAATTGATCAGCGTTGATCAACAAAAAAAAGCAAAATAGAACGAAGAGTTTTGAATGAAAATGCCACAAAAATCACTACCCATGTCAAAATAATGTTATATGACATACATAATTTTTCTAAAGTTGTTTGTATAAAAAAGTAAACTTGCAGGGTAAACAAAGTGGATCTTTTTATGTAAAATATTACCTCGTAAAGCTCTTATAGGAGGTGAATTTACTTCCAACTCACTCTGTGAATAATATGGCAATAAGTCGAGGTTTAGAAGTTTGTGGGACGAGAAAAAATCGTTATGTAATCTACATGGGCTTGGAGATATCTTTATTTTTGATTTATGTGTCACATAAGCAATTGCCACTTATGAATGATAGTGTAAGTTTTCTCCTCTGGGTCTTTCAACTCTGGGTCTTTAAAACCAGTGATAAAATACTTTTGGATTTGTATAATTTCGATGAATAAGGGTTGAGGTTTGTGGTATTTTAGAATTAATAGATTAATTTCAACTGCGGAGGAGATTTTTACAAGATTTTTTTCCAGTTAAGAGCTGATGATTATGCATGCGAGGGAGGAAAGCAACAGTGTGAGAAAGGAAGAAGACCCCTTCCGGAATCAAGGCCAGGAATCGGGTTCCGGCCTGTGCATCTCCTCTTCTTAATGTATTCCACCCCACGGCAACTCGTCTGTCACCTTCGGTCTCATTAATGAACCGTCTCTGTAACAAAAGTTAGCGAGACAAAACAACGATATCCACTCGTGCTTGGGCTTGCGCTGTGCCTGGGCACCCCCAGGCGGCGGATATCGACCCGGCACAGCATCCGACCTCCCGCAGATACTCGCAGAACCCCTCAACTCAGTCAGGCTCGCAGGCTCCAGCCAAGCACCTGTCTATCCCTGCCTCTGTCTCTAACATCTTCACAGTCACATTTGCTTCATCGTGCCCGGTCCGTTTCCACGAGTGACTACGAAGGATTAACCGAAACAATCCGGTCGCCCGCTAAGCAACTGTCGGAAAAATTTGACAATTTAAATTTCTTAAAAAGAGAGGTGAAATAAATTTTGAAGAAATTTCACTATTATTTTATTTTTATAAAAAAATAAAATAAAAGGTAATTTTGTTCTTTCATGTTAAACATTTACTTTGTATTTTGTTTGTCTTTATTTTTTTGTATTTTTTTACCTTACAATTTTTTGCTAATAAACAAATGCTTGTTAATAACCAGGTGCTTCTGATTCATTAATTTCTGTTAAAGTAGATATTATTTATTTATGTTTACTACAAAGAAAAATCCGGACAGGAGTTAATACAATTTTAATATTCACAAGCCACCACGTGAGCGAAGAATTTAAACTAAATTTTAAACATTCAAAATAAAATCATTACAAAACTAGTTAGCATCCTAGTTAAAACAATAAAATCAAATATAGTTAATAATTCATAAAAATAACTCAGTTTTTTATATTCAGGTGACCAATTTTAAACTCTGTTTTACAGTGCACTTTTTTTATTATAATAATCGTTTCTGAATTGATTAAAGAAACCTCGTCAAACCGTATTAACTAAAAATAAAGAACTACCTGTTAGTCGTAGTTTAAACATAGCCATTAATTTCACCGAGTTTAATAGAAGTCATTAAGACCATTCATATTATTATTTGCTCATTTGCACAGTCATAATCGTGAAAACTTTTCTAATTTTATTTATCTTGCTCACGTCGACTTTAAAATTTATTGTCCAATTTTATTTTTTCAAACCTGTTCGGTTTATTCGTTTTGCTTTAAGAAGGTAATAATTATAGTCCTTTGGCTTAATATGGCATAGTATCGTGAATGTTGAAGGTAAATAAAATTGTAAATTTATTAATTTAATTTAATTTATTTTAAATAAAGTAAACGTTTTTGATTTAGAGAAATAGTGAAATATGTTTGGTTGTTAATTTTGAGTCGTTTCTAAACTAATTTGGCAATTGTAAGGTATAAAGGTACTAAACGTTATTAATTTTTTTCTTAGTAGTTAGTGTATTGATATGGTTGTTAAAATAAATACAATTTAATTTTGAAAGTAATAGATTATGATGTATTGTAATAAACAAATTAAGTGCCACATTTCAGAGATTTATTCATACTCGAAAACTTGAAGTCAAAACCACAAATTACCATAAATACTTCTCAACGAGTATAAATTTCAAACAATTGAAACTTTTACCTCTAACGATGAGATTTAAATTTCATTTTTTATTGGACAATTGAATTTAATTGTTCAACTTAAGGTTTTTGTAGCCCACGAAAATTTATTAAGACAACCGTTCTTTTAAACACACTATAAAATTATAAAACACTTATATTATAAGATACATTTATAATTACAATTAATATACATTTCCATGAAATGGACGTTTGTTTTTGTTAATAATATTATATAATAACATGTTTAAGTGAAAAATATTCAGATAGTAGTTTCGCTAAAATATTAAATAAAATTTAAGTTCAGACAAGTTTCTTAAAAACTTTATTATATGAGATCGCAAGGAAATAGCTTAATAATGCACATTAGGTCATAAGACATGTTATATAAATATTGATATTTGTGTAAGGTTTTTCCACAAAATGAGAATTCGAACGCCGGCTAAATGTTTCCCTCGTTAAAAAATCATTAGGCTTGGAACGAATTCGTCTATATTTTATAAAACAAATTAGCAATATTTGAAGACATATCGGTAAAATTGCTCAATATGTTTTACGATGATCCTATATACTTCATAATAACCGTTGCTTTTGAATATACCATAAACTATACTTTGTGTAAACATGTAAGTACGATTTTTTGTTTAGACGGTGAATGCTTTTTTTATTAATATTTTTTAATAGTCCATGGAATTGGTGGTTGTTTTTTTATTTGTATTCGTAAGGATTTCTCTTTTAAACATTAAACTTTAATCCATTGTGTCTGATCTCTGCTTATGATTTCCAATGTAGATGTTGGTTTCTTTGATGAAGGACAGGTTTCTTCTCAGGAGTATCGATGTCTATTTTGCACAAGAATAGATTTTCTAGGTATCCATTCCTTGCTGTTGCCGGGCAATTGTTAGGAAATTGTCTGTCTTCTCTAGACAAAGTTGACATTGTTAATGATACCATTTTTAAGGCGTTATTTGACTGGAGATGTCACAATTTCAAATTCTAATTTAGCAAGAAGGTTTTTTTCCCCTCGACCGGTTAGTTGTCAAGGCACCTTGCGTTTTCTGCATCTCACTTGTTTTTTAATTGATAAAATTTGGATCTTCCGTATAAGCGCCTAGCGAACTTACATTTTTAACAGAACTTCTGGGACTGTATTAGCATTTTTAATTGGCCCTTCCACACACGGTGAAAACGCCGTACAACTCATTTACACACGTATGTTTGTCCTAATTCAAGTTTGGCAGACCTCAGGATACTGGATATGCCGTGAGGGCCCGCAATCATTCACGCCAATAACTACATTCACACTGAGTAACTAAATTCACACGGCGAAACCTTCCTCGTAATTAGATGTACAATTTATAATTTGGAGGCACCGGGGTTTTACGTTGGTGACTCACTCATAATCACTAAATATATATATTACGAACCTAGTTTGGTGGGACCGTGGGGCTCTGTGTATTTCGCCACAGACAGACCCATACATCATTAACATTTGATCTAATAAATACATTCCTACAATTTGTATGGATCAAATTTGGGGAGCTACTGGGTTATTTGGTATGCCAATGCCTCCTACTGTCACACCCTAGAAACTAATTTATTGGGTCTGTGAGTAATATATTATATTCCGCTATAGAGACTCTCACGCCGCGGTCGTGGGTTCGATTCCCACCGTCGCCTCTGGCCCTTTTTTCCCGATAACCCCCCAATTTGAACACACATATATTGGGTTGTCCGGAAAATAATGCAGGATTTTGGTATTAAACAAAAAAAAAGAAACTAGTTACTTTAAAGCAATGTTCTTTAATCANAACGTAAACAGAATATTTTATATAGATTTTTTTTAATGAAAACTTAAAATCCTGCATTATTTTCCGGACAACCCAATATAAGAATTCGTCACCATGGCTAATATGCATAGATCATAAGGCAAAAAAAAAATTCCGCTAAAAACACCCACCCACACTCACTCGCACTCAACCGATCACGCTAATAATTACATTCAGTCAGTACGATAAAAAAAAAAAATTATTCTAGTTTGTTGGTCTGAGGGGGTAGCCTCAAGTACGTGTGCATAATGAAATATGTCAATAATTTCGCTTAACGTAAAGATTTTGTTATTAAGCGGATTATTTTTGAATTTAAAAGGGCTCTCCATGTTGATTATTTAGAAATGCGATAACATTTTCATTCACATCATCTGCCATTCGCGAGTTCTATAATTTTCTTTTACTTCCATTTTTGTTTCTAAATATTTTCTTTTGAATGATAATACTTTTTGAGAAAATTATACATGAATTATTATATATTATATTATTATATATTATACATAAAGCAAAGTTCTCTAAATATTTGTTATAAAATCGCTATATCAGATAAAATTGTCTTGTATAATTAAACGTGTAGACGTTTGCAAAGTTAATTAAAATTTCTTCGAAATCTTGTTATATGTCTTTATGCTGTATAAAAAATGTTATTTTCAGAAAAGGTCTCATTAACGAAATCAGCCTTCGGTTAGAAGTAAACAAGTTATTCAGGCTGAGGTTATGCTAAATCCGCACAACTCACCTGTCTTACCGAAGTGTATTTCAACGCCTTAAACATGGCAAATGGTATTTTAATATTAATAAACAATTGTATGAATAACCAATGATTAT